ATCAGTGTTATTGGAAGGGACCTTTGGCCTGTCTCTATGGTAATTCGACATGCTCGGCTTCCCAACTGAAGAATTCTCTCGCAAAATACTTCTCTAACAACACGTACTACAAAGGGAAGATCCCTAAGTAGCATGCCAAAAAGAGGAACTAGGAAAATGTTTTTCTTTCAAAAGTCGTTGGGGACTGCAGTAATCGGCACTCCTCTTTTGCTCACAAATCCAGATTCGAAAACGTAGAGGTCCCCAAAAACCCACTCCACAGATTATCCCAAGCTAGCCAATCATCTTGCACTTATCCAATCTACTAGTTCAACTCAACGCAAAACAACTTTGGCAAAAGAAAGCTGTGGTACGTTAAAGAATGTAAACAACTATGCATGAGCAGATATCTGAAATTGTTGTCTCTTAGACTCTTACCAACCGTTTTCTTCTTGCAGTCAGACTACTACCGAGCTCGGCACCGGTCTCAGACAATCCCTCAGGGGAACATAGCTTGCCCTCACACAAGTCAACTCAAAGGTTTTTGGAGAGATCTGAGAGGCATGGTTCAACTAATGATGCACCAAGACTCTTAACTACTGGAAAATTCCACAATCTTATACCGATCCAAGACATTGATATCTGAAATCGTTGTTTCTAACCTGGAAATCTCATACGTGAAATGCAGGTGAGGAAGAAGTAGGAGAACTGGAGAAATAGGAAGAGAAAGTAGAGCAAGAAAATTTGAAATAGTTAAAAATTGAAGATTTATTACGATACAATAGTTGGAGCTCAGCTAGTATATATAGGGGTCGTGGTGGATGATTATTAATTAGTTAGATTTTATGGGGTGATTTTTGAGATTGTCAAAGCTATTGGCAGATAAAGTAATTAGGGCGAGAGATAGTGAGAAAGTAATAAGAAGGGTTCATTTTGTTGCTCTATGGGCGTTAGTGTCATTTCAAATTAACTTCTGCAAAGCATGACGATAGGATCGGATGGAAAAGTGGAATCTTCTTTGAGCGACAGTTCATATTAGCATATTAATGGACTATGTTAATATTTAATTACAATAAGCTCAAAGTTTACAAGAGACGTGGGTCGGTTTTAAAATTAAGGTATTGCAAACCTAGGCGCAGTTAGAGATTAGAGCAGTGTGCTTAATTTTCTGCACTCAAATTCAACTTCTTTTTCTGAAAACTTAAGTAAAAATGATTTCTTATGTTTTTCTTAGTTTTCTACCGCTTACCATGTTTATACTTGTGTCTTATTTTCTAACCAATTTATACAATTTTGTCATTTATATTTTAGTTATGAAGTGAGTCGAAAAATAGGATAGGTGGACGGACATCGTATCTCTCTTTACTTATACCTAAAGAATTTTTAATTACATTCAATCATTTTTTTTAAGGTGAGTTGAGACTAAATACTAAACGTAACAAATCCTTCATATTTAAGTTTGAATACAAGATTAAAGTCAAACCATGTCTCTAATTAAAATGTTTGTGACCTAAGCTAAAACAGTAAATTGTAACGAGTTGCCCATGTGAAGAAATTACATTATCTTAATCTATTTTTACAAGAGAATGACGAAAAAATTCTACTTCCTAGAACTCTTAAGATTGTATTCATTGTTGGCAATACCAAGGACGATTGTTACTTATGCTACAAGTACGTAAGATTCAAATAGTGTTTGAAATTTATTCATTACGGTTGATATTTCTGTAAAAAAATATTGAAAAATATTATAGAAGCTTTTAAATTTAGAGTAAAATTGACAGATTTTGTTGATATTTCAGACTTATGGGTTAAATAACAAATTAACTCTTATATTTCGTCTAAACCAATATTTGACATTCCCTAAACTTTCATTTAAATTTCCATAGTTTTTAAGCAAATTTTCATTGAATGCAACCAATATCGACTTGCTATTAATATATCCACCGATATTTCTAGTAATTTTGTATATCAATATTTCCACCGATACAGATATTTTAAACATTGAATCAAACTAGTAGTCTCACTAATTGCATAATCAAAGAGCAAACAAAATAGAAATTTAACTTGTTTAGAAGTGAGGTTATTATTTTGAAAAGGTTAACAAAAAATCCTAGAAAAATCCAAATCACATGGCACTGTCATGTTATAATTTACTAATATTATCGTGCGTTTTAAGTATAAATTCTGATCCCATTCCACCAACTCACTCAGCAATAAAACATGTACCTGCAGCATTTTTGCACACTAATCAAAGGGTATATTTGGTAATTCACACAACATTTAGTGCATTAACTAATAATTAATTGAGGAAAATGTTAGTCTCCCAACAACAGTGCAAACAAGTGGGCCCGCCACCAACCTCCCACAAACTTCAGTCACCAACTCTGAGGGAAAAAAAAAAAAAAAAAAAAAAGGAACTCACCAACTTTCTCCCTTGTTTTTTTTTCAATCATTTTCATCCAATTTTATAAAGCATTACAAGTTACACAAAATAACACGTTACTAAACTTAAGTCAATCCGACGACAACAGCGTATTTTCTCATCTGCATTCCGAGTCTGAATCTTTATTTTTAAAATTAATTTGATTTGACTGTCATTTGTTTATATATATAATTTTTATTTAGAAAAAAAGGAAAGTGTTATTGACACTTAAAAAATCTCATTCTACACTCCTCATAAATGTATTTTTCCTTTTAAATATAGAAAGTTTTAAGTGTAGAATAAAGAATTTAGAGTACCAATAACAATTCTCTAAAAAAAAAGAAATAAAAAATTTAGTAAAACTTTACTAATGCTTGTGAATGTTGGACCAAACATTGTTGGGGTGCGTGAGAAACTAATAATGCTGACTCAACTGGGAGAGCTAGGTTTGGGATGAGAATCCTCTTTGTGATGATTCTAATGATCCTCACAACTTAATTATTCGTCATATATGATGCGGCTAGTTTCTATTAGGTATTATTTGTGTTTGATTTTAAATAAAAAATTTAAAATAATTTATATTACAATAAAGAGTGACGATAGGATCCAACATCTCTAGGTTTGTATGTATTACGAAGGTTGTGTATTTTATAATACAGTACCAATCATGGGTGGCTTACACTTGCCGTCATTTGATTTGACTCTTGAGTAGGTGGGCTACATATTCCTACTCTTTCGTTCTCACTAAAAAGACAAATTTACCGATCAATAATTTTGTGAAACTCTCTCTTTTTTAAGAATTCACCTCACTATTCAATTTCCGATTTTCTTTCCCCTTCATCTTTCATTTCTCCTCTAAATAATCTCTATTGTAAATTCAATCACATGCACTATATATATATATATATATATATATATGCTCCTTAGAAGAGAGGTCAAATCCTTACTATAAACTGGGCAAGCAATAAGGGCAATTCCACCTGCTGCCTTTAGCTTCGCGGTCAAAAATGAGGAGGGCAAAATGTTGGCGTGGCTGACCCTGTCATGATGTTTCAACTTTTTTTTTTTTTTTTGTGTCTGCATTGCACGCTTGATCTAGGCGAGTGAAGCTCATGTGAGGGCTATCGTGGGGCAACGAAAAAAAAAAAAAAAAAGAGTCTCAACTGCTAAGCCACGTGGCGTGAGTTCAACCGTTCGATTTCCAAATATGAGGGATTGAACGTTCCAATATTTTCATAATTTTAAAACTAGAGTTCTTTTTTTTAAAAGAGAGAAAATTAGAAATATCTAAAGAATCTAAACTATTATTTACAAAAATATAAAATTGTTATATATGTTTTCCTATATATACTCAACCATCATTTTCACTTTTGCACCAAAAATCTAACATGTCCGTTAATTATTAAATAACATAATTATGTGTTTAAAAAATATATTTGTGAATAGTAATCGTCATGATAATTGTAAAATGAGTAGAATTGCACAGAGAGAATTACTTTTCTGAGTGAATAGTAATTGCCATTGGGCTGCCCTTGACCTTACCCAACGAGGGAAATTGTTCTAACTTCTAAGACATGTTATTGAGAATAATTTAGTCTTTGTTTGTTACAATATAAGGAAACCAAAATTTTGACTTAACTGAATCTAGATCATTTTCAACCCATGCTTCCCGACTGAACAAATTTCGTTAGTTTTCAAACTACAACAACGTTGTTGTTTTTAATTTACTATGAAGATGTTTAACAACTGTTTCTTTCACCGATTGTGTTATTTAAACCTCGAAAAATATTACACCAACAATCGTTTTTATTACTGATACTCTCTTTCATTTCCAGAACTTAAACAAACAAAGCAAGTTTCCTTCCATTTACAGGCAGGGTTGGAGATGATCTAAGTACGGTATTACTTGATTTTTAAATTTTTATGAGTTAACTCAAAGCAATAGGCTGGCGCTAACAGATAACCACACAAAATAACTCCTCCAACTCCACAGCCTCAAGTCTAATAAAAATTCTCTTCAGATTCCACCCACTGCCCAAACATATTGTGTCGGCCCCACCTGATGCCCTCACCTACCGCGTCGCCCAAAACCCACCATCATCTCACCACCACCACCCACCACCCACAGCCACAACAAGCGCGTCACTCCAAAATAGTTAAAAAAACACCACGGATTTAGTGTCAAATATAAATAAAAGAATTACCATAAATAAATAAAAAAAAGATTATTACCAATTTTTCCATGCATTCCCGCTTACTTGATGATTTTGATTGTTAAGTTTTTCTAAATTATAAATTGTTTAATCCATTTTAATTAATGTTCTTAAAATTTTAGTACTTAACAGAAAAATATGCAAGTGGCTTTTACTACAGTAGTGAAAAAGTTTTGAGCTCTTGCATAACAACGTAAGTTCAAACACCTGTTGATGACTAATCTAACAAAAATTTTGACAAATGAAATCGAAAATATAAGAAGAGAGTAGGTTTTTTTTTTTTTTTTTTTTTGGAGAACAAGAAGAGAGTAGTTTGGCGTTGCCATAACTAAAGAAACTTTCTATAAAATTTAAAATCAGAAAACAAATATAAAAAATAAAAAGAAAAGTTGATAATCCCAGATCTGGCAGTAGATTTTGGCTATAAATACGGCAAGAGGGAAGCATTCGAACTCGCTCCGCTCTCTTCTCTGCTAACAATACTGATAGGGAAGAAGAAGTGAACCCCCAAAGAAAGAACCAGTCTTCTCTATCTCTCCGAAAGGTACGAGTAGCCGTTCTTTCATTTACTCCCTTCTCTTATTCTGTCTCTCTCGTCCAGTATCGCTTTCTCTCTGTGGATTTCCAATTGTTTTGCCATGCCAACGTGATCTAGAACCCTCCTGCTTCCCACCCATTTTGCTGTTTCTTTCCTTTTTCTTTCAAAGATTTGATCTTTTTCTTCTTGTCTTAGGCTGAGATCTGTACTGGTTAGTGTCCATTTCTGTGATTCTGTGGTGGGTTTTGATTAAATTTTGGATTTTTTGGATACCCCTTTGGTTTGATTGAGTTAACGAATTGCTGGCACTTGGATTTTGGGTTGGGGATCTGAGTGTGTTGTTGTGGTGCTTGAATCCCTAGATCTGCTATCGGGTTTTTGGGTTTTGCAGTAGATCACTGTTTCTGAGCGGTTAAGATTTTCTTTAGGAGAAGGCCAAAAAAAATATGGATTTTGTTTAGTGGTTCAGATAAATTCCAGTTCTTTTAAGATTGGATCTAGAAGTGAGAGCATTTCTCTTTGAACCATTTCTAAACTATACTGCGATTTGAAGATGAAATTGCCTGCTTTAAACATTAGATCTATAAGTACGAAGATTTGTGTTTAAGGTCGTGCTTTCTCTGATCTGTGATTGGATTTGATAAAGAAATTTATTCTCTGAGCTTTCTATTGTCTCAAATTTATCTAATTTCTGTTTTGATTTTGTTACACAACTCTAAATAATTACACTTCTGTGAATTTGGGGTGTGTGTGTGTGTGTGTGTTTTTTTTTTTAAACGGGTATAAACTTAATAGTACTTAAATTAAAATGAAGAAGTGTTTTAATTTTGCTTTGTTGAATGATTGGTATGATTGGACTTTAGATCAATGAGTTTTGAGTTTGAATTGTGCAAGTCGAAGTTTCTTGTTATTGGATATCATGGATAAATCTCCGAGCTTTTATGCATAATATGTGTTGTCCTAGTTGTTGATTAAGTCAGCTAAACTTTGTTACATCTTGATCTGATCGAACAGAGAAATGGCGTCTCACATTGTTGGATATCCCCGTATGGGCCCTAAGAGAGAGCTCAAGTTTGCTCTTGAATCTTTCTGGGATGGCAAGAGCAGTGCTGAGGACTTGCAGAAGGTGTCTGCTGATCTCAGATCTTCCATCTGGAAGCAGATGGCCGATGCCGGGATCAAGCACATTCCCAGCAACACCTTCTCATACTACGATCAGGTGCTTGACACCACTGCATTGCTTGGCGCTGTCCCACCAAGATATGGGTGGAACGGCGGTGAGATTGGATTCGATACATACTTCTCCATGGCCAGAGGAAATGCCTCAGTTCCTGCTATGGAAATGACCAAGTGGTTTGATACCAACTAGTAAGTGAACCATCTCTGAGCATTTTGTGGATTTGAAGCTTCCAAGTAGCATAAATTGATAGTTTTATACTAACTTTAACTGATGTATTAAAACAGCCATTTCATTGTCCCTGAGTTGGGCCCTGATGTGAACTTCTCTTATGCTTCTCACAAGGCTGTTGAGGAATACAAGGAGGCTAAGGCGGTATGTATTTGTTTTCATACTCTTTTTAATTTGAGTGTTTGAGTTGGGTGTTAATTAGAACGGTAAAAGGAGAAACTTAATATCTTGGTTGTAGCATTATTTTTTAAGAGTGTTTTACATGCTTAGGGTTGTATGTTTTTGTACTATTGGTTTTGTTCTGTTTTTTGTTTATTCGGTCATAGAATTAAAACTTGAAAGCTACATTTCACCCCATGCCACTTGAGCTAAACTTGTTTGCCATGGTGGTTTTGCTTCACTTTATCTATACACATATCTAAAGGACATCCTACTTAATCGATCCCTCAAATATGATTCAACAATTTTGTTTTTATATATGTATACACACATAGGAGGAGAATCACATGGTGCACACACATGCATATCTGAAAGGGCAATCCTTGCTGGGGGACCCGATTAGAAATGGTGCAACTTATCCTACTTACCATCTTTATTCAAGTTATGTGTTAATGTATATCAATCTCTCTTATGCAGCTTGGAGTGGATACTGTCCCAGTCCTTGTTGGCCCAGTGTCATACTTGTTGCTGTCCAAGCCAGCCAAGGGTGTTGAGAAGACCTTTTCTCTTCTCTCTCTTCTTCCTAAAATTCTTCCTATCTATAAGTAAGATACTTGGGTTTCTTTTTATGTATCGTATATATTTCTTTTTTATTTTGTTAAGTTGAAGTATTCACATTATTGTTCCAACTATGATTGTCTCTTCAGGGAAGTTGTATCTGAGCTTAAGGCAGCTGGAGCTTCATGGATTCAATTTGATGAGCCCACACTTGTTTTGGATCTTGAATCCGACAAGTTGCAAGCATTCACTGGTGCCTACTCTGAACTGGAGTCAGCTCTATCTGGCTTGAATGTTCTTATTGAAACCTACTTTGCTGATGTTCCTGCTGCGGCATTCAAGACCCTCACTAGCTTGAAGGGTGTCACCGCTTATGGTTTTGATTTGGTCCGTGGTACCAAGACCCTGGATTTGATTAAGAGTGAATTCCCCAAGGGAAAGTACCTCTTTGCTGGTGTGGTTGATGGAAGGAACATCTGGGCTAATGATCTTTCTGCCTCTCTAAGCACATTGAAGACCCTTGAAGGCATTGTTGGAAAAGGTATTCAGTTTTTTTTTCTGCAGTTCTTTGTGAAGTAATTTCGTCTTTTAAAACTTGTATATCATTAATTGTTTGTCCTTGCAGATAAACTTGTTGTCTCCACCTCCAGCTCTCTTCTTCACACCGCTGTTGACCTTGTCAATGAGACCAAGCTCGACCACGAAATTAAGTCATGGCTGGCTTTTGCTGCCCAGAAAATTATTGAAGTTAATGCTTTGGCCAAGGCCTTGGCTGGTCACAAGGACGAGGTAAAACCTTTGTTTTTTTTTTTTTTGGGTCTGTTATAGGTCATAGTCATAAAGTTGGAGTAGTGAGCAGTCTAACATGAGCTGCATTTTGGAGTTTGAGTTTGTTCGATTCAGCATTGGTTTCTCACGGTTTGATTAATTTATCTTTTCTTCTTGTGTGGTATTGTAACATGATAAGAACTCACCTTTTCGGTTTTTGTCATCAGGCATTTTTCTCTGCTAATGCCGCTGCCCAGGCTTCAAGGAAGTCCTCCCCAAGGGTGACCAATGAGGCTGTTCAGAAGGCTGTGAGTGCTTCATTTTCCATTCATGTGCCTTTCAAATTGACATGTGGCTAAAATGGTTTTGTACTTTGAGTTGACCATTTCTTTTTCTTCTCAGGCTGCTGCTTTGAAGGGTTCTGACCACCGTCGTGCTACCAATGTTAGTGCTAGACTCGATGCTCAACAGAAGAAGCTTAACCTTCCAATTCTCCCAACCACCACCATTGGATCGTTCCCTCAGACCATTGAACTCAGGAGGGTCCGCCGTGAGTACAAGGCCAAGAAGTGAGTGAAGTTAATTGTTCCTTAGTGTTTTTAAAAAATTGTGAAATTATCACAATTTTATTAATAATGCATGAGTAAACGTGCTGATGGTTCTTTTCACAGGATTTCTGAGGAGGAATATGTCAAGGCCATCAAGGAAGAAATTTATAAGGTTGTTAAACTTCAGGAAGAGCTAGACATTGATGTCCTTGTTCATGGAGAGCCTGAGGTAAGCTTTCATATATAAATGTCTTGTTCATTTTTTCAGTCCTTTATACTTGTTCCTTCAATTCATTATTGGTTATTCTCATTGCAGAGGAACGATATGGTTGAGTACTTCGGAGAGCAATTATCTGGCTTTGCCTTTACCGCCAATGGGTGGGTGCAATCATATGGATCTCGATGTGTGAAGCCACCAATCATCTACGGTGATGTGAGCCGCCCCAAGCCTATGACTGTATTCTGGTCATCTGCTGCTCAGAGCATGACTGCCCGCCCAATGAAGGGTATGCTTACCGGCCCCGTCACTATCCTGAACTGGTCTTTCGTCAGAAATGACCAGCCCAGGTTCGAGACCACCTACCAGATTGCTTTGGCCATCAAGGATGAAGTGGAGGATCTTGAGAAGGCTGGTATCAGTGTTATTCAGATCGATGAGGCTGCTCTGAGAGAGGGATTGCCTCTAAGGAAGTCTGAACATGCTTTCTACTTGGATTGGGCTGTGCATTCCTTCAGGATCACCAACAGTTGTGTCCAGGACACTACCCAGGTATTATTCTGCCTCAATATTCGCGTCAATTCTACTCATTATGTTTATTTTCTATTCTCCTGTGCAATTTTCTTAACTGGTTTTGTTTTAAAACCCGCAGATTCACACTCACATGTGCTACTCCAACTTCAACGACATCATCCACTCAATCATTGACATGGACGCTGATGTGATCACCATTGAGAACTCTCGTTCTGATGAGAAGCTCCTGTCAGTCTTCCGTGAGGGAGTCAAGTACGGTGCTGGAATTGGCCCTGGTGTGTATGACATCCACTCTCCCAGAATACCATCAACCGACGAGATTGCTGACCGGATCAACAAGATGCTTGCAGTGCTGGAGACCAACATCTTGTGGGTGAACCCCGACTGTGGGCTCAAGACCCGCAAGTACACAGAAGTGAAGCCGGCGCTCAGCAACATGGTTGCTGCCGCCAAGCTCCTCCGCACTGAGCTCGCCAGTGCCAAGTGAATCATTTGAGAGGAAGGGAGGGTTGAATCCACACGTTCTATTGCGATCAAATGGATGAGAAATCATGTTTTTATTGGATTAATAACTCTGTGATGATCACATATTTAGTAGGGGTTTTAATGTGCTCTTGAGGGCATTTTATCTTTTGTTTTTGTTTTTTTTTTCACCTTTATATTTTGTATTTTTGAGGCAATGCCTCCTGTTATTTTCAAAGACACCAATCTGATTGGTGTACTTCAGTGGATGATAAATGAAGAAATGGTCATTTTGACCAATTTGTCCAAAGTAAGCGTTCAAGGACTTGTTTGGAAGTGTTTTTAATGATTGAAAGTGTTTTTGAATTTCAAAAACATTAAAATGTTTCTTGCAAGAAGCATGGTTTATGTGCTTTTTATAGAAAGTTGAAGCACTTCAACTACTGTTCAAGGATTCATTTGCATTTTTTACTAAATATTGATTCAAAAAATATTTTAACAAAAAGTGATTTTAGTTATAAAATCTATTCTAAACGAGCTAGTTAGGTAGAATAATATAATCTACTTTTGCAATTAAATCTGAAGATTTTTTTGTAGTAGATTAATTTAGTGTAAGATCATCTTATGGTTAAAAAACAATATAAATGCAAACAATATTTATTCGGTAGCTAACTTTAGTCTAACAATGAAAGATTCTACTATTCTCCGGTGTATATGTACATCGACATTTTTGATCTTGTCGGATTCTTGACCACGGATATAACAGTCGAAAATCCCAGTGTACAGAATACCGAAAGCATACTAGAAAATCTCCAGTGCACAGCCAGCTGGTTTATACTAAACCGATATCTTGCTTTGCAAATTAAATAAATAAATGACCAAACAAAAACAAGAATCTCATCGTATGATTTGCTCATCTAATTTATGGATAAATATAAACTACAAAATTTGTATAGAAAACTAATGAACTCACATCAGAACTCCTTCAACATTACTCAGGGCTTTCTTTGCGAGCTTAAACTTTTCCTTGAGGGCTCTATTGGCTTCCGCAATATATTTGATGAAAAACTCGATCCCATGCCGAAGACTTTCGAGCTCCGGAGAAACAGCTACACGCGTGAATATGTTCCATATGAGGCTGTCAGGATACTCGAAGATGGCCTCGAATAGCATCCGGAAATACATTGTCCTTTTAGCTGTTAGCTGCTTAATGTCGACTAGATCTACCGTCTTCAATACTGCAAGGGAGAGGGTGAAAGAGGCTACCATCTCTGCTACGAATTTTGCAAGGTGCATTGACCCGGTAAGCGGCATTGACTCCAGATCCTTGAAGTGGTCCCAAAGGCAAAACTGCGGAGGAATGGAAAATATTTATGAGATGAAACGTTAAACGAACCAAAAATTGTTGTAATAAAATAAGGAGCAATAGAAAGCTAATATCTAATCTGGATCCTGCATTTCTCATTAAAATCAATCCATCCATGGTTCTGTGGGTGGTGAATGCGGTGAAAATTCTAAAACCATACCATTGAGAATACTGTGGGGAATCAAGAGCATGACACAACTGAAGATATTACAGGAAAGTAAAGGTACAAGATCCAAAATTTGAAAGCAAAATTGATCCCATGCAATATTACTATTAGATAGTTGCAATCAAGGGGTATTTGGATTGGTGTAAGATCTAAGTGGTGGAAGATCCAAGGCATTCACTTGAGTGATTCAAAGCTGGTATAAGGTTTGATATAAGAAAAGAGTTGATTCGCCAACCAGCTTACAGCCTTGAACATGCTTTCCAAGTCACATTGGACAGGGAAGACTACTTGGGGTATTCAATTACAAAATAAATTCCTTTTCAAACGTTAAATGCTTCCAAAAACCCTGAACTCTCCCTCCACACTGGCCCCTTAACAATATGTTTCTCAAGCTCACCCTTGGAAGGTTAATCAACCAGGTCAAGCAACATAAATACCAGACAATAGAATGCAAACCAATCGGTGACATAAGGACCAATTCTAATAAAACGCAAACTTCAAAGGACTTCACAAGAAATACCTGTAAAGTGAACTTGTGATTTTTGTCATGCTCACACAACTTGGAAGCCAGAGTGGTGTAATACTTGTTAAACTACTTTCTCCTGCAAACAGCAGTCCACAAGAACCCTGATGATCTCCCTGTCCTGTAAATGGAACACCAAAAAAATAAATTTTTGATGTGTTACAAAAAAAAAGAAAAATAAATTTTCGAAGACAATAAAAGATGACAGAAAAAAAGTATATAAAATTCCAAATCTGATGACACCAACCTGCTTTCCAGGCAAATCCAATCTTAGAAGCTTCTCAAACGCATCAAGATAATCCTCCGCACTCATAATTATACAAAAGATTGCCCTTCTGGCATCTGTGTTCATTCTCTGTGCAGCAGCAATCTGCAGCATTTTCTGGGTTTCAAGAACCTCTTTGTCTATTGTGTTGGCAACATCTTCGACAGTGTCTGTTGCTGAGGCAATATCCCCAGACAACCACCATTGGCCCTTCTTATTAGAATCAAGAAGTTTGCTCCATTTAAGCCCTCTTATTAAACTGTCTTCTACCTGTAACTGAAAAAAAAAAAAAAATACAAGGATTGTGAGGACAATGAAAGCCAGATGAAATCCACAAAATTGTCACTCGAATGACACAATTATTAACACTGCACTGATCTCTCTCACTAGGACATAGGTTTTCATATCGTGAAGAGCATTAGCACTGCACTACTTCAGGTCATCTTGGCATGCTCATTAAAATCTTTTCATTTTCATTAGGCCAAGGAAATTCATCAACATTAGTCGGAATATAGTTTATCAACTTAAGTGCCTTTCTCTTACCTTTTACTCATCTAACTATAGTAAGCTTTGTATTTATGATAAAAAGACACATGATTGGTTTTACAATTTTAACATTCTTCACGAATAGCCTTGAGGCAATAAAAAAGCAGGTAAGGGAAACTCATGATAGATTTCCACATCCTAATATTTCATTAAGTTGGAATTCAAGAAGCACTGATAAAGAGAATATAAATGAACTGAAGACCTTTTGTAGCCATTTCTTTATCCTAGTATGCTGTGCAGTATCCTCTTTAGGCCTTTTTTTGTTGTTCTTGATGTCCAATATGGTCTCAAGCAGTGAATTCCATCTGCAAGTATCAGAAAAGAATTGTCAGATTTTGATACAAAATTAACTCTTAGAGTAAAGATAAAGATGTCTAACTTACTCTTTTGCCGTTAATATTATCCTGGTTATCTCCACAGGAGGCTTTTAGCTCATTCACTCTATTTTGAACACTTTGAATAAAGTTTTTCATCGCAAGAGGATCATCGGCCCTTATTTTCATTCCACAGCCTGTTCAGTTAATAAGAATTCATGTTAGAAACGATTTGTGATTTCACAAGTCTTAAAGACGTTTTAAACAAATATGAGGTTATTATTCCTTAGCCGAAGCTTGAGCAAACAACTTGACTTGCCCAATCAAAGGAGTTTGCAAAAATACCAAATGAATGGAGACAACAACAAAAAGAAAGAATGGAGATAACATAAGAAATGCAGAACCATTTGATATATGAATGCACGCTTAATATGCATCTTTTGTCAAAATGTTAATAACAAAATGTAACAAATTTTTATTTCGAGGGACAAGAAGTTTTACTATGAAAGGGCTCTTGTTCGGAATGGAGGAGTAAAGATCTGCAGCTTGCAGATGACACCATATTTTTGCTTTCTGGGATGAGCAGAAATTTTATAATTTACTCAGTGCACAAAACAGAAATCTTGTTGTCGGGGTTAAATTTAACATGTCCCAAACTATATTTTTTTTTTTTTTTACAAAGAAAAAAGAAACAAAATGCAAGAGATTATAGAAGCCAGGGCCATGTAAGTAAAAGCATGTGGCAGAAATCCAAAAGTGCTTACTTTGTAAAACTGTCAGTATGGTAGAGACATCAACCTCGGTTAACCGCTTGCTCAAAACAACCAGAAAGTCGTATATCAATTCACTGAAAAGCATCACCAGAAGAACAGAAATTAGAAAAGGGTTGCCATTCGAGGAAATATTGTAGAACATACTCATTGAAAATAAACTTTGAAAAAAAATAATTTAGTAATGAAAGAAAAAATCTTGATGAGGCAGTTTCATAAAAAGATTAGCTTGCAAAATCATTGCAAATTTATTTTTCTTCTTTTTCACTTATCTTAATAAATAACGAAGCATATAATTGTGCTATGCTACATTAGTCTAGGAGAAAAAACAAAAACATTGACAGTTAATCTCTCTGTTCACGTAAGTAGGAGCAACTCTATAGTTGAACTATGATGTAAAAGGTACACTACAAGCATTGATGATAATATCCAGACACACTTATTTTCATTCAAGGGATACATTCGCAAGGTTCAAAGACTGAAAATTAACCTGTCCAAAATTATAATCTCGAATACAGATTCAGAGTGATATATGTTTTGAGTTAAAACTTTCTACATTAATAGCTTTGAACTCCTTCAAATTCAGTTTTTATTTACATTTTCTAAAAATTCAGTTATGCATGAGAATTCAGGTTACCTACCTCGAGCAAACTCCAAATATGCATAAATATGAAAGTAAAAGCGTAACATTTCTCAGCGAAATATTGTCTTCTTTGTGGTACTCGTCCTAAAAACAGAAAAGAAGATGAATCAGTTTAGTCAAAAGCTTTTTGGATAATTGATCATCAGACTTAAAGAAGTTAGTGGCTCACCTCAAAGGTTTTTGCAAGTGATGCCAAAAGGTTTGCACCAAAGTCCATTCCTACTAAACAGGCCATGCCTGCCACAAGAGCAGCAAAAACAGCAGCATATCTTCACAACAAAAACCACATAAACAAGTCAATACACAGATAAGTTGAAACACTAAAACTTAAAACTAAAAGTAAGGATTAGCTTTATATCCAATTATTGTGAGACTAATGAAATCAAAACTTAGGGAACAAACTTTTTCAAATTTGCAAGGATTAGTATATCATGCCCAGAACAATGGACAGCTTGAATCTGCATGACTTTGGATATGTGCAACTCTAAAAGCTCCAATGAATGAAATAATATTTACTGTCCCCCTAAATATAAATTCTGTGCTATATCAAATTTATTCCCATGTTACGCAAAAGGGCAAAGGAAAACAAACGGATTCTACTAAGATTTTATCTGCTAAACTACTTTGAACGGTAGAAGAGGTTTCAACAAAAATGAGAAATACTCATAACCTACAAACAAGAATAGAGCAATACCTGTTTACAAATACAGGAGTAAAGAAAATATTTCAGGGATACCAAAAAGTTGAAATTTTATTTGTTTATCTGTCTTTCATTTTATTCGCTCCACAGAAAAAAGCCAGTAACCAAAGTCCTACACTATAGTAACCATATTGTTCTCCCAAAAATTTCTGCAACCTATACTAACCATAGGTCCAAAAACAAATTTTTGATTTCGTTTTATTTTTATTTTTTTTTACAAGTGCTCTTGTTGTCAGCATGGGAAAAGACACAGAGATCAACTGAAGCCCTTATATACAATAAAAGACATACACAAAATCTATTTTAATGACAAAAAAAAAATTTACTTAAAGCCCGATGAATAGAAGACTTAAAGAGAACACGTTGGTAAAAGAAGATCTTTATATTGCTGCTAAACAAAACCAATCTCAAGCCAAAAGGTGGAACTACAATTCTCCATGAAGCAAGTTAAACTATACTAGTATGATAGTATCATACTTTGATTAGTAAAGAAGAAAAACTAAAACTTAACTGTTCATTCCCACGAGGACCACCAGCACAAGATGATATAACCTCCTCACTGAACATCTGAGAAGCAATGGCACGAGGAATGGAACGAAAAATAGCTGATAGGTCTCCTGTAATAGATTCCACATTAGATTCAGACAACCTATTCAGAAGACCTCTTACGCGTCTACGAATCTGACTATGCTCTTCTGGCTCATTCCCTGCACAAGATCTTAAGTGAGGAGCTACATACTTTTGAGGAGCAACATATTTTTCAGGCGCCTTCATGGGAACCTTTTCTGATGCCATCTCTGCACCACATGACTCCATTTGCTTAGATACATCAACTGTCATGTCACCTTCATTGGCTTCTTCAGATTCCTCTAGCACCTTTCTCTTCTTATTTCTCTTCCTCAATGATTTCTTGGAAGGAAAATCTTCAATTTCCACCTCTGCACCATCAGTTACTGCCTCCTCTGGAACTCCTCTAGAAGGTAGCTCACCTTCTAGCCTGTCCTCCAATGACTTATCTTTCTTACGTTTCTTGCGTGAATCGCTATTCTTAGATTTTTTGACAGGTAATGCATCAGCATAGATCGTTTCTTCTGTGCCAAATGAATCAACAGGTACGATCCCTTCAAACAACACATTAAGGCCAAAATCCTCCCCCTTCAATTTCCCATCCTTCACTTTGAGTTTCTTTGCAAGTCTCCTTTCTAATTCCAAATCCTCCTGAGCCCCAATCCTATCCATTTCAAGATACTTTTCAAAATTCGTTTTCGGGGTTCTCTTAGATACCTTTTCTCTTTTAACCGCCTTTGAGGCCTTATGATCAGCTCGTTTCAGAAACTCTGCTTTCGCTTCAACTTTCTCTTCCGCTGTATTAGATTGAAACCTAGTCTCATTTCGCTCAGAATTAACTCTTTTCGCAGTCAGACCAACAGAATTTTTCTTCTTCTCTACATTTTTCGATTTCAAATCCCCGACATTGGCTTTACCAAGCTTTTGAATATTCTGTTAAATTCATATATATCAAAAACATCACCAAATCCATATATTCCTCAAGGCTTCAAATTTCAAACCATATGAAGAAAAAAAAAAAAAGACAATTATTTGTGTCAAATAAAATTAAAAATTGAAGACTTGATACCTTATGTCGACTCCACGACTCATGTTTGCTTGCTTTCTTCGCCAACCGAGCTTCCTTTCGCTCCTCTCGTCTCGATTGCACTGTTAGATTAGATATCTGCATCAATTAACTCTCTTTTTTCTCTCCATCTTCCCCAAATTATCAAACCCTAATCGAAGGACATAGATGAAAAAGCAAGAAAATTGATAGAGAATAAACTTACCCATGATGAAAGACAGCAGGAAGAAGAAGAAGCGGACAGAAAACTGACGGTAGCTACCGTGGGCAGAGAAGATAGGGCGGGAAGCGTCGAATGAAAAAGTAGTGGAGTGAGGGAGAGTGAGAGAGGGGAGATGGCGGCTGGTAAACAGAAAGTTCGACGGCGTTGGATGGCGGGGATAACTGGCGGCGGTCCGATAGGTACGTTCAGGAATCAGGATTTAGGGTTTACCGCTTTTGTTCACTGATGTGTCACACGTGTGGCGCCCACAACACTTCCTCTTTGTTTTTGTTAAGAACATGATGCGTGGAGAGATCACGAAATTTGAACTTACTCCCTTATAAGATTAGAGATTTAGATGTTTTAGTAACCAATAACGAAATGGAGAGCCCAGCTGTGTAGGTAAGAATTTATCATATTTTTCGCAGCATTAGAGAAACCTAACATTTATCTTTTATTAATTAAAATTGATAATTTAGAATTACTATTTCAATTCTAGTAGAAGACGAGTTTGATATTAATTTACTAAGACAATTTTATTATCTGTTTTAGTTTTAATTCTTTCCTTTTAAGTGTAAATATATAATTGTATAAAAAAACATAAGTACATACTGCACAATTGCTTGGAATTTGCAGAATTCGTTTGACGTGAACTAATTCGGCAGTTGAATTTGTATCATCAGACGAGATTAATCAGTGAAGGATCCTCATAGAATTAATCCGGAGAGAATGTGCATCCCTTATTGGGTAGGGGTGGGCACAGTGCGGTTCTTCCCTAAATTGGAATCGAAGCTGAAAAATATCAACGGTTCAATTCGGTGCGGTTTCGTTTAAATTTATTACTAGAAGTGTATGGTTCAGTTTACACCGCTTCCTATTTGGTTTTTGCGGGTTTACGGTTTCGAATTCTAAATTATTTAAACACCAAATCATCATGCATTCACATGTCTTCTAAAAATATTGTATAATGTTGCATACAACACAATTTTTTTTTTTAATACAAATGTCTTTGTAGTGGCACTAAGTTAACAAAAAGAGACAATTAAAAGAAATATGCATCAATCGGTTAGCAAACAAAACAAATCAAGAACTTAAGCAGCATCAGGTCTCTTGATATTGGCAACAGCAGCAACAGTAGCAAGCAAAAACATTTGAGGGTGGGTGAGCCCTAATTGGGATGGATTCATCGCTTTGCAACTTGATGAAACTAATTTTTCAACCTATTATATCATGACACGTGTATATATATATATAATGAACTTATTTATTATTAATAAAACAGTTTGGTTTGGTTTCGATCGGTACTTGTTCCTTCAAAACCGGAACATAAACTGGTTTGAACTGATCCGGTTCGATTTTTGACTCAAAGTTGACTTTTCCGGTCAACACGGTTTTTTCGAGTTTTTTCTATACGGTTCGATGCAGTTTTGCAGTTTGACAATTTTTATGCCCACCCCAATTATTGGGTGCTTTATCTGACATGAGATACAATGAATCTCTCATTTTCTATAAAATTATAAGATTATGTCCTACTTAATTACAAGACCAGTTACAAAACTCGACACACCACCATTCTTTTAAGATACGAACACCTTTCTTAACCAGTTTCTCCCTAATCCTTGGGCAACTAATCACGTAACGGGAATAATGACCTATGGCAGGGCTCCTATGAATTTTACTTTTGAATGAAAATTCACTGTATTGACCGAGGAAATTTAATATTACTATTAAGAAATTTCAAAATGACATAATTTTATTTTCTAAAATTTATGAATTTTTTGTTTAGTTAACTTAAAAGAACAATGAATTTGAATATGAAAATTTTATTTTTAAACTTTTACTCATTGAAATTTGGAAATGACACCTATTTATATGAAATTTTAACTGAAAATTGAAGGTTCCAAATTCTAAGTTTTTTTTTTCACACAAAAATTCTAAATTTTTGTCTTTATAAATCCAAACAAGAGAATTGGTGCATGTCAATTTACAAATTCTGTCAAAATTTTAAGTTTATTTTCTTTATCCAAACATAATGTAAGAGTCTTCGACCATGCATGGCTTATGTCCATGAACTAATCAAAGGTTAATTATTTGTTACCTCTCTGCAAATGTGGTCATTTGATTGTGGTCAGAGGTGGGTTAAAATATTTTTAACCTTTTTGGTCTCATTAGAGATTAATCATACCCTACCTCAAGCTTCGATAAAACAAAATTTTAAAAAAAAAAAAATCTAATTTCTAAATGCCCTCTGAATATACATGTCATTTTCTCATTACTCGGCGAAACAAATACATTTGGATTTTGGACTAGATCAAAACAAAATACATAGTTACGAAATATAATAATAATAATAATAATAATAAAAGAAAATAACTTTTATGCTTAATTTGACCAGGTGCTAATTAACGAAGCCGGCAAGTTTTTGAATTTGCAAAAGAATTGATCTTGTTGTTCTCTGCGGGACTAGGACCGTTTCACAGATTGCTTCTCCATCCATATGGTGTGTTCTGGCTCTTAAGTGAAGCGTATAAAATATAGAGAGTATCCATTTAAACCTTGTAATTATCTTCGAATCTATTGAGATTTTACGTATAGAGAATAGTTGATTGTTAAGAAATATATCAACAAAATGACTATCTTACATGTACTTATTCTCACATCCGAGATTTTAAGTTCGATTTCCTTTTTCATTCGAGGTCTTAGCTAGCTTAATCATCATGAAAATTGAAACAATTAAAATTAGTTCGTAATAAAAATCAATATTTAATTAATTAGCGTTGATTTGCACTAGAATAATTCATGCATACTTCTATCTATGGGACATGCACATATTCCACTATTTGCTAGCTAATAACGTATCTTCACCGAATAAATTTTGTAACTATAACCGTTTAATTTATTAATTTTATTAGAACATCATTCTTACAAAAAATAGTTCAAATCGGAGATCGTGTATCCAAATGTATGAAACAAGTAGATGATATGAGTTCTAAGTGACATATTCATGATGAATCATCTATTTATTTGATAGATTTGAATGACTACACAATCTTTGATTTGAAAATTTACTCGTAAATGATAGATCATGTGCATTCCCCTCATAAAAGAATAGCATTCTTGTTATTCTATCCATTAATGGTGGACGTTCAACTCTGAACAAACCACACACATTATCTTCCCAGCCTTTTCCTTCCGTTTTTTTAACCTTATACAGTAGTGTAAAACATAGCAAAGCCGACCATCCTATAACTTATTTTATTAGCACATAGTGTGATGAGCCGACCAAAGGCGGTCTTCCATATTTTTGTCTTTTAATTCGAGGATTTCGATGTTTACTCAACAATTCAAAATGCTATAAATAGACCAGACACGTACATTCCCACACCAAAATACAGATTAGTACACCCAAGTGAGAGCTAATACAAAGATCAGTATCTGTATTATCAAACTAATTAATTAGCTTCAATGGCTTCCAACAAATTTGTCACCCTAGTTACACTTGCTGTGATCCTTCTTCCTACCATCGCCATGGCAACCGACTTCATCGTCGGAGGTGATAGAGGCTGGACAACTGGTGTTGATTATTCAGATTGGGCCAAGGACAAAACGTTTCATGTTGGTGATGCACTGGGTAATATATACATACACATTTCAGTTATATATATATGTTTTAGCATAATGAAAAATACTCTCTGTTTTGCCATGTACAATTGTTTGTCAGAGTTGTGAATCTTGATCTACCATTTAATTTGGTTGCGCATGAACAAATATAGTTGATTTATAACAACTTATCATGCAAATTTGTACGTGCATGCAGTGTTCAAGTACTCGAACCCACCCCACAATGTGTTCAAGGTGAACGGAACTGGGTTCAAGGAATGTGTTAAACCAACAGAAAATGATCAAGCACCACTTACTTCTGGAAACGACAGAATAGAACTAAGGACTCCGGGAAACAAATGGTACATTTGTGCAGTTGCCAATCACTGTGCTGATTTGGGACAGAAGCTTGTCATTACTGTTACGGACGCCTCGCCTGCGCCCGCTCCATCGTCCGCCGTTCGCGGGATCATCTTTTCCGGATACCAAGTCTTCGCGGCCGCCGTCGTCGGGGTCTTCCTTGCTGTTGCAGTCTGATGGTCATATCTGACACATGCAATATGCATAAATACACCTATGTATCCAAATTTATTAATTTATTATTTTAATTAAAATATGTGTGCGACATACAATAAGAGAATTTATTCTGTATTATCTAGCAGCTGCTAGCATGTTGATGCAATTTCCAAATTTATTAATTTAATAACATTTTTCACTTTTATGCACTGATGTCCTTTGTACAACGAACTGATGGAGAGTGTTAGGATTGTGGTGTGTTACCAGCGTGCACAGGAACCCAAAACTCCTCATCAGTTCGATGTATATAAGGAACCTAAAATTGGTGAAGATTGTGCTTAATTGCTCACACTTTTGTAAAAAATACAAATATTAAGTTTTCGTAAGATATTTTGCACGCACAAGGAAAAAGTTATAAGCTACTTGAAAAGTGGTCTTCCCACTATTGAGTCATATATATGATATTGAATTTTAAAACTGGAAAAATGAAATAAACAAATAAAAATTCCATCGGAATCGAGAACTTAACTAGACTTGGGCATCCGTCGACACGATTATCTTTAAAATGTTCTGCATGAATTTTAAAGATTCCAAATCCGATTAAAAATGTGGTTAATGCTCACAATTTTTTAGGTTACACAAAATCTTTTGCATCCTCAACTGAAATTTATTTCAAGTAATTTGGAAGCAATATTACCATTTTATTTATTTATTGAACTTTTAAGCAGGAAAACATAAAAGTAAATGAAACGAACCATCGGTGTGAAAATTTAGCCAAAACGTCATGGTTTTTATAAAACTTCTACAACCAATGAAAATCGTGGGTAGTTGCTCACTAGTTTTGTGAAGTGAATGCAATTGTTGGGTTTTCACAATAGCTTTTGTGTGCTATACAAGGAAAATGTTACGGGATATTTTGAAGTGTGTGGGACCTAGACCGCCGGTGAATCAACGGCAAGGCGTTTAATCAGTTTTTATCATTTATTGAGTCATATAAGTATTATTTATTGAGCATGCAAAAGATCAAACCAAAATTCAACAATAATATAATATATATTTGCATTTCCCCCTGATGAACTCTTCTCCAACTTGTGAATAATATTTATATTTTTCACAATTATTAGCAATTACCCATGAATTTTAATCGGTTTTCACATAATCATCACAAAAAAGCCTATTTGCTTGACAGTTTTCCCATATCATAAGCTTCTTAAACTTTAATATTTGGTGAAAGGGGCATTTAAAATTTTTCTATCAATTAGTATATAAAATAATTTGTTTCAACTAGAAACGTTTTAGTAATTATATTGATTTTCATTCCGATTCAGTTAAATTATCAAACAGTTTATATTGAATCTATATACCAATTTTATTCTGATTACCAGAACAGTTCAAAAAAAGGGCAAAGGGCACAACACTGTTCACACACATCGTTGGCCGCCTCTTTATCCTCTTTCAATTTGTACTTTGATCCTTTTAGGCAAAAGACAAAATGCATCTTTGGGAGCAAAAGGGCCCAAAGTTAATGTTGTAAAGATACGTGGACTGATTGCATCTACATATTTCAAGAAAGTAGGGTTCTTAGTTTCCTTTAAGAATAGGTACCTTTGAAGAGGTGGTAAGGTAATGAAGTTAATTATGATTAAATTAGCCATGATCGATCCCTTTTTTTTTATTTTATTATTTTTTTTTATGGTCACCATGATCGATCTTTGGACAACTAATCACGTACGTTATGGGAATAACGACCTATATATGGCAAAGTTGTCATGATTAGGGCTGGGCACGGGTCGGATCGGGTTCAAATTTGGAGGAACCTGGCCCTACCCATTTTAAAATGTAACGGGCTGGGGCGACTTGGGTAGAGGTATTTTGAGTTTGGGAACCTGACCTAACTTGGCCTGTTTCAAACGGGCTGGTTCGGGATTGGTCCAACTACATTTTTTTTTTCCGGCTTTAGTATACTGCCACCAGCCTGCAACCCCCATTTTTCCATCGCAAAGTCTGCTGTGTAAAGGCATCGCTACCGTCTACTTGCCACATCACAGCGATCAACAAACCACGTATTTTCAAAACATGGGATTCATCTTCTACTTTCTCTCTCTATAAATGCAAGTAAATTATTTAACTCCCAGTTAATTTGATTTGCAACTGCAACCCTTCTGATCTTCTGAAAAATTTGTGATTTGGGTTATGCAGGGGATCAAAGACCAGGCTTCCCAGAAAAAATCCAATATTTTTCAAGCATTTCTCACGCCCCAACCTAAATCCCTAAATAGAACAAACAAATAAATAAATCTTCAAATAAAATTTCGAATTCATCAAAAAATAAAATAAAACTGAATCCCTAATTAAGCTAAATCCCCAACATTTTTATGATTTTTTCAAGCAAATTAACTGAATCCCTAATTCCTAAATCCCCAAATTTATAAAACTGAAATTAGATGCCGAGAATAAGAGAAGTAGGAGCCTCAGACAACGTCGTTTTCCTCACGGATCCAAGAGCTCCACCTCGCCATTACAAATTACACAAAATCAAAACAAAATCAGAAACCCTAAATCAATCGAAAAGCTTATGCAAAAACCCTAAATTTCTAAATCAGAAACCCTAATTCATAAATTACCTAGGGATGCACCAATGGAGAGTTAGGAGAGGATGCCACGATGGTGATGGTGCCCGGCTGCTGTGAGGTCGACATAATCGAGGTTAACTCAGTCACTACGGGTAGGGGAAAATGAGCAAGTGTGAAGAGTCGATGTACGGAGATGGGAGCCTGGGCTCGAGATTGAGGTTTGAGACGAGAGAGGAAAGGAGATTCAAGGAGGAGAGATTGAGGGAGGAGACTCGGAGTAGTGTCGTCGGAGACTCGGAGTCTTGGAGTCAGGATAAAGAGAGAGGGTGAAAGGAGAGTTTGAGTGAATTGCATCTGAGAATAAGAGAGAATGTGATAGATAGATAAACGGTAAAGATTTAATTAGGCAATGAACGGTCCAGGTCGGGGGCCCGTTTTCTCCAATATTTAGAACCGGCCCACCCTATTATTTACTAGGAATCGGCCCAGCCCACCCCGTTTTGTGTTTATAATTTCTGGACCCGCCTCGTACCCACCTCGAACCGCATGGAATAGCCCTGACCCTCGGGTCCAGGACTCATTTGCCCATCCCTAGTCATGATCGCTTGTTGTTAGGGCTTTTGCTTTTCGATGAGAATTAAGAGTCTTCGACCATGCATGGCTTATGTCCATGAGCTTAGCAGAGGTTAATTATTTGTTACCTCAGATCTAATTTCTAATTATTCGTCGTCGTTACGTCTCAACAGACATATGTCATTTAATTGTGATTGGAGATTCAGAGGTGGTTTGAAATTTATTTAGCCTTTTCGGGCCTATTAGAGATTAGTCGTACTCCTTAGAGTGTTGAATACGTCAAACTTTGGCAAAAAAAAAAAAAATTCTAATTTCTAAATGCCCTCTGTAAATACACATTTGATTTCTCATTATGCGCGAAGACAAATGCATTTGGACTACAGATCAAAACAAAAATATATAATTACTTTTAAGGTTTTATCACGAATGATCTCTAAAATTGACCCTCACCATCAAGATGGTTCATGAAATTAAAAATCAATCAATTTAGTTCTCGAAAATAGGTGTCGCAAATTAATGTGGTTATTTTGTCACAATTCTGTTAAAAATTTCGTTAAGTATTAATGTGGCACATAAACCCACAAGATTTACGGGTTTTTATCACAAATGGTCCCAGAAATTGACCCACACCATCAAACTGGTCCTTGAAATTGATCCACGCCATCAATATGGTTCCTGAAATTGAAAATAAATCAACGTAGTCCTTGAAAATAGGTGTCGCAAATCAATATGATCATTCCACCATAATTCCTTAAAAAAATTTGTTATGTGTTGTTGTGGGTTTAATAATGAATTAAAACAGTTGTCAAGATACCTTTTTGCACCATGAAATTTATTTTTTCTTTGGGTGTTCTCCAAAGAGAGCTCCATTCCATAAATTCTCAAAGGCACAAGGCTTAACCAAGGCCTAAGAGATGGTGTGGAAATAGTTTTCAACCAACAATGGACGCACCTCAGTTATAACCTCATTATCTTAAGGTAGACATCATTGTTTTTTGCATCACCAGACCACCAGGAAAACGCCAAACAATCTCTCCAAAATTAAGGTTGTGAGGATGTTGATCGCCTAAATTTTAACGGTGATGTCCCAGAAGTCGTTGCCAATGGGCCAACCCATCACCAAAGGGGATCTCGATCAATTCGGTGAAGAGTGTCGAAGTGTGTAAAGATGGCTGTATTGAATTTTTGTTTAGAGAATAGAGAGAGAAGGAGGTATAGAAATGTGGACTGGGATCGATGGTGATTGCATGACTGGATTTTTGGGTTGACAATTTTCTTATTAACTATTAAACTATTAAGCCTATTTGTAATTTTTTTAAATTTAATTAGACTTGTGTGACCCATTTATATGTCACATTAGCATATAACAGATTTTTTTACAGAATTGTGACGGAATGACTACATTGATTTGAGACACTTACTTGAGGCACTACATTTATCAATTTTCAATTTCAGGGAACATTTTTATGGCATGGGTCAATTTCAGGGATCATTTTGATGTCATGAGTCAATTTCAAAGACCATTTGTAAGAAAAAAAAGACTTATAAGGCACATTTATGTGCCACATCAACACTTAATAGATTTTTTAACAGAATTGTGATGGATGAACCACAATGACTTACGACACCTATTTTCAAGACTACATTGATTTGACCAGGTGCTAATTAACGAAGCCGGCAAGTTTTTGAATATGCAAAGTAAAGAATTGATCTTCTTGTTCTCCGCGTGAGACCTTATGACTAGACCGTTTCACAGATTCACTACAAAAAATATGGGCACTGCGCACAATAAATTATATGTGCCCTTTGAGGCCAAAGAGCACCAAGACATGTGCCCATAGACCAATAGCAACAGTGCAACTACTAAGTTTGTATCTGTGCCCTCTATGGGCGTCACCATTGCTAAAAGGGCACAATTCACTGTTTGGTGCTCAAAGAGGCAGACACAAATGGACCATTATTTGTGCCTGTTTCTGACAACTTTATCAAAAGACCTTTTCCAGCCATATTGACACTTATATTATAATTGTGCCAACAAGAATTAAATATTAAAAAAAAATCAAAATTGAAAAAACTGAAAATGAATTGAGGTAATTATTATTATTATTTTTTAATTTTCATAAAATGTAGAAAGCCTACAACACATTCTCAATCTCAGAAACATATATTGTAATGTTACATATTTCATCTCTAATGCAAAAAGAACTTGAAAGCAGACATTTTTGGACAAATGCATCTTCCCTAGCAAGCCTTGCACCTCATCAGAAGCTAAAACAAATATAGTCGACTTCAAAACAAAATAAGTCCAAAATTACACCTAAAAAGGAGTTGGTTAAAATCAATACGTAAAAGTTCCAGATCTGCCATATCAAAGATTCACCTCCTTTTCCAACTTGGTGGATGGTGCAATCATCCTCCTGAAATCCAAATGAAAGTGAAAATGAAATTAAAAAAATAAACAAAGAAAGGACCTATTTCCAGTCATGTTCAAGGACCAAAACTTTCAATCGGCATTAAGAACTCAATAGCAGTGATGCATTGCTACTTTGTTATACCAAATTACAGTGAACAAAATATGCAACTAAATTAAGCAGCTAAACCATCATTACCAGCAAACAAGATGTACAAAACAATAAAAGTTTGGACAATCATTGTTATGACATTAATTTCTAAGAAAGATAGAAACTGCTAAGAACCTTATAGGCTCTACAACGCACAAGCTAATAAATAAGTATTTTCAAATCTAATTTTTAGCTTTAGTGAAGTCTTCCATGTTTCCATACGGAAAGATAAGATTCATGGAGCTGTTTAGTTTCTTAAGACTGTATGTTTCCTCACTGTTCGGTCTCTCCTAAGAGCAACCTAAACACTTAACTACAACTAAAAACTTGCAACAAAGCCCTCAAGTGGGTACTTGTAGGCTGTACCAATGTAATATATAGTCCATCCCTCTAAAATCCTTCCCCACTATTAGTTGTGTATAAACAGTTAAGAAGCTACAACATAACAATAGCATATGTTCATTTCTAACAATAAAATCATCCAGCAAGAAATGTACTCCTTATTAGACATCGTAGTGTTTTAGGGAGTGAAAACTCAAATCCGATCTTGACCTTTTATTATCAACATAATGTGATCATCAAGAAGTTAAATGAAGATAACAAATTAAATTTATGTTCATTTGCTAATAATGAAACAAGTAACAAACATACTTCATAAGTGACGTTTATTTGCCCTAATTGTCAAAACCACAGCTTTCCTGCAAGGCATCAAACAAGAAACCTCTTTTCCTTGAAAGTGAAAACAGTTAGGAATAAAAAGGAAAAATTGATGGGCATGGTAACAATACAAGAAATCAATACAATGCAATGAGACAAATCCGACAAAATTCACACCGAATGCCACATGAATTTTAGTTATGGAGATTTTGAGAAAGACTGAAAATTCATCATAATGAAAATCTGCTTATCAATGAGAGTGCACAACATTGTAACATTAGATTCAGAAAATGGTTTTGATTGGTTTTGATAGGAAGCATTGTAAGTTAATCCCAAACATTTAATTCATGCTTCCAAAATTAACAAATTCTACAATTGCAAGAGAAACCCTAATTAAATATCTTAAATGCCAAAACCAAAAACTGCCCTTATCTGTTGGAAAATAAGATCCTACCATCTTCTCTATATTCTCCACCACAATTACATTCTCATATCTGCATTACCAAACACATAAAAACAGGGCAATCAACTCTCCATCCAAGAAAACAATACAACATTGTTATGACATTATCTTTCCATTAGCTCCACAGACGAACTAATCTGGATGATATATGCAACATTTGGACCTCTCATTGCCAAAGTCATGACTAGTATTAAAAAATTAAAACCATAGATCTAATTCATTAAATTTGATCAACAAACAGAACACACAAATGTAGAACTACAAAAATTGATAGAAGAGAGACAGGGAGGTACATGAAAATTGTGTACGATAGGAGCGAGTCTCCAAGTGAGTAAACAGTGACGTGCACACAGAAAGTAAACAGTGATCAAATCAGCCAAAAAATAATTCCAATCGAACCATAAAAAGGCCGAAATTAACAATTCTGATAAGTAATCGAAGAACAACAAAATCAACGAAGCAGCACAACGACAGAAAATAGAATCCCAGGCGAAGAGAAATAGGCGGCGACAAACGAACTAACTCGAGGTATGCAAGAGAGGAAAACGGAAAGAAATATCTAGAACAACCGAAGCCAAAGCACCCAGTGATGAAAGACACGTAGAAACATAAGGGCAAAACGGTCTTGTTACTGTAGAAAGGCAACACCAAAATGGAGAGGACGAAAAATTTTGAGGGGCTGTTTCGCCATTTTACTGCTCTAGAACAGTACCAGGGGAGTTTGAGTTTTAGTATATACTAGAAATTTGCACCCGTGCGATGCTACGGGATTGAAAATCATATGAGATATTTTGCTAAACCTTATAATGAACGGAACAAATTAAGATACCAAAAGAAAAATTAAAAATCTATTTTTTCAATGTGCAAAGAAGAGAAATTGTTTATTCAAAAAGTTGGACCAATGATAAAATTACAAATGCAGTATTGAGAGTATATCAGTCAAACAAATCTTGCTACATGCTAAACAATGTTGAAAAACATCATTAGCCTTTTCAAGTGTTAAATGCCATGAATGTAATTGGATACCAGATTTGCTCCCAGCTTGAGGTGCTTCCAAGGAAAAATTGACCTTTTGCTGCACTCTCTTGGACAGTTGTGAATACAACTGCAAAAGATAATAAAGATAGCCAATGATTCAAAAAAAAAAAATGCATAAGAAGTTCAAAATTGAGTTTTGGGAGAGAGTGGAGAGAGAGAGAGTGAGAGAGGTGAAGTGACCTTATAACCGGAGATCAAATGTATTTTTTTTCTTATTATTGAGGTGGTACGACTTGTGAAATTCTGAAATCAAACATTTAAATAAAGTTTAATCAAAATTTAGTACGAAATGTTAATTAGAAATGTGTTACAATGGAAGCAAAAAAGATTGAAACTTGCCTAATGTGATGTGTACAATTTTACCATATGTTAGTGAAAAATATACCACTGTGACATGCCATATGTTTGTCTTGCCTTCTTGGAAGTAAAATTAGTTGTTGATTGCCAGGTGGTATAAATCTGTACAATATACCTTGGTGGAGTAATTATGTGTATGAGTTTCTTATATTTATCATCCATGTTATGTGAAAAGCTGATTCCAAGTTCTGCAGAAAGTCACAAAAAAATGAAATATAAAATTGGAGTGAAGATTCAATAGTACAAATTTACACTTCTAAACATATAATATTCAAATAAAGAAAATTTTGAATAAAGAGGCACTAACATTTCAACGCCCATTGTTTGGATGAAATGAAATTCTCATAAATTTGTGGCAAATCCTCGATGATATACTCCTAAAAGATTAAAAACATATAATTTTAAACAGAAAAAAGGTACAAAAAATACCTCAATAAATTGATTGAGGTGGATGATCACAGCATTTTCTCTTCCCTTTATCCACGTACTCTTTACCCACGTTCATGCCTATACAATGCTCAAACACAACCCAAATTAATTCAAAGGAAATTTGCACAACTCAAGAGAAATTAATTAATTCAAATAATTATTCACTTCCTCACAACCCAAATTAATTCAAAGGAAATATGCACAACCCAAATGAAGAGATCAAACTCTAATTCTCTCAAAAAAGCCATTATTCCTCATGCCACCTTTCTTTTTGGCATCCTATCCATTCTGTCAGCAACTGATACAGAAACAAATAAGTCCATAAAACAGAAATATACCCAAGAAGTATACGTACACAACCCAATACCTGAAAACTGAACTCGAAAGCTGGATTATGCTGCCGAAGTGAAGCGCGAAGTTACTTTTCCGTTTTAGGTCCGCAAATCACAGTTTGCAGCTGTCCTGATTCATACCATTTTAAATTTGACATTTGCTTCAATCTGTATCATGTGTCTATGGACATTTAGTTGTAATGATAAAACTCAAATCTCTCCTACGTATAAAAAGGTTGAGTAAGCAGCCAAAACAACAGGGCAATCAAGCAAGTGGTTGCAGGTAAACAAAGTAATTTATATGCAAGCAGCGAACGTATATCTACATCTCAAAATGAAAATTTCACCTGGTGATCCAACCTATTAGCATCAAAGTAAACTTTCACTCTGAACTCCAACCGTATAAATAGATATCGCCTTCACCTTTGTTCATTAGTTTATACTCATAGTGCCTATTTCAATAACCCCAAATCAGTTTTAAAATATTTTAGGTATAAACACAAAATTGGGCATAATGAAAACTAAACCAATGTCTGAATTGCTTACCTAAGTGAAGAGGATTTTGGAAAACGGAGCGAGGCTGCTGCGGCGTTTGACCTGGCCTGAAATTAGTTAATTACCCAGATGAAAAAAAGAAATATAGAGTGAATTAAAAGATTTGTCACAGAGCTTACCTCTGCAGTTGTAGCAGTCTACAGATCCCAAAGCTTAGAGATGAGGCCTGCGTGAACTGGTGGCAGCGATGATCGAACTTGTCGACGACCCGGCACCGGAATCTCTAATTTCAGCACCAGCTACAACTCCCTTTCGCCACTGGGCAAGTGAGTCCGTCGGCCAAAGCACCTGATGAGAACAAAACGCTGGCCAACAAAGGGTTCGTCACCGGAGAAGACCGGAAACAAAACACCCAATAAAATCAAACAAAGGGTTGCACACCGGAGAAGACCCGAAACCAAATCCAAAATAAAATTAAAGTCAGGATCTCTTCTAACGACTATTCTGCGAAGAAAGAGCAAAGATTTGGCAGCAAAAGAGGGAACGATGAAGAGGGAGAAAATCGCACAGCAAGGAAGGTGAAAAACAAAGAGGAAAGGTAAAGTAGAAAAACAAAGATAATGGAGAGAAAGAAGCGAACGGAAAAAACAACGAAGAAATCGAAGGAGAAGGATCAGCGATGATAGACGCGTGGCCACCGAGGGCAATGTCGCCATTTCACTGGCCAAAAAGTGGAAAACCGGGAAACCAAGAGCAATTTGGAGGGCAAATCCGTCAAATCAGTATTGCTGAACAGTGCTCATCAACTGGGTTTTAGTATATATAATTAATTATGGGCACAAATAATATATTAGAGTCCATTTTTTTCAATAAAGCTGTCAGAAAATGTATTTGTGCCTATTTTGTTTTACAATAGGCACAATCAATGGTGCCCTCTATGAAATGGGAACTGTTTCAGTCTTTTAATGGTCAAACAGGCACAAAATTCTCAATTGTGTCCTTTATTTTGTACCCATAGCTCATTTTTCTTGTAGTGATTGTTTCTCCATATGGCGTGTTCTGGCCCTTTGGGATCAAGTGAAGCATTTGAAAAATAGAGAATATATATTAAACGTTGTAAGTATCTTCGAATCTATTGATATTTACCCATAGGAAATAGTGGATTGTCAAGAAATATATGTACAAAGTGATTATCTTACATGTATATTTCTTCTTACATCCTAGATTTCAAGTTTGATTTTCTCTTCATTTGAGGTATTAGATTAATTTTATAAAAATTGGAACAATTAATAAACAATTGGTAATAAAAATAAAATTTTAATTTAATTAACATTGATATATTCCACCATTTGCTAATAATGTATCTTCACCGTATGATTTCTTAATCTTTATGCATCATTAATACAAAAATAATTTGAACCGAAGATCGTGCATCCAAATGTATGGAATAAATCGACGATGTGAGTATCAAATTAACATATTCATGATGAATCATCTATTCATTTGATAGATTTGAATACCTAAAAAATCTCCGATTTGAATGATATATATGAATCTTCAAATGAAAATTAAAAAAATTAAACAGTGTTCTGATTATAAACTTTATACGATAAAAATGCTATTCGTAAATAGTAAAATTTGTGCATTCTCCTCGTATAAGAATGCAAGCATTATTCCTTCTATTAATTGTGGACGTTCAGCTCCGAACAAACCACACATTTTATCTTCCCAGCCTTTTCCTTCCATTTTTTAACCTTACATAGTAGTGTAAAACATAATAAAGCCGGCCTATTCTATTAGCACGTAGTGTGATGAGCCGACCAAAGGCGGTCTTCCATATTTTTGTCTTTTAATTCGAGAGTTTCGATGTTTATTCAACAATTCAAAATGCTATAAATAGACCAGACATATATATCCCCACACCAAAATAAACCAAAGTCAGAGCTAATACAAAGATTAATATCTGTATTATCAAATTAATTAGCTCCAATGGCTTCCAACAAATTTCTCACCCTAGTTACCCTTGTTGTGATCCTTCTTCCTACAATCGCCATGGCAACCGACTTCGTCGTCGGAGGTGATAGCGGCTGGACAACTGGTGTTGATTATTCAGATTGGGCCAAGGACAAAACGTTTCATGTTGGTGATGCACTAGGTAATACATGCACATTTCAATTATACATTATAAATATAAATTATGTGTTTATCATAATAAAAAATAATTGTTTTGCCATATATATATAATTGTTTATCAGATTTGTGAATCTCGATCCGCTATTTAATTTGGTTGATTCTCGTCAACCAGATTCACAGTCTAACAAAATACATAAACATTTGTATGCGAAAAAAAGTTGTCATTAGTCGACACTTGCATGCACAAATGATTGATTTATAACAACTAATCATGCAAATTTGTACGTGCATGCAGTGTTCAAGTACTCGAACCCACCCCACAATGTGTTTAAGGTGAACGGAACTGGGTTCACGGAGTGTGTTAAACCAACAGCAAATGATCAAGCACCACTTACTTCTGGAAACGACAGAATAGAGCTAAAGACTCCGGGAAACAAATGGTACATTTGCACAGCTGCCAATCACTGTGATTTGGGACAGAAGCTTGTTATTACTGTTATGGACGCCGCGCCTGCGTCCGCTCCATCCTCTTCCGTTCGCAGGATCATCTTTTCCGGATACCAAGTCTTCGCGGCCGCCGTCGTTGGAGTCCTCCTTGCTGTTGCAGTCTGATGGTCATATCTGACACATGCAATATATGCCTATGTATCCAAATTTGTTAATTTGTTCTTTTAATTAATTGTGTGCGACATACAATAATAGAATTTAAATCTGTATTAGCTAGCAGCTGCTAGCATGTTGATGTAATTGCTCGATCAGAGTCTGCTTTTCTATCATGTATCCAAATTTATTAATTTAATAACATTTTGCGTCTATGTTGGTTACATTCGTAGAATCACCTTATCAATTTGTGCAAATCAAAACACGCAAATCTTACATACTTGAAGAAGACGAAAGGTCTGTGTGCTAGGTCAATCTTGAAACCCTAGCCGTCTCTAGCTCTCTCTCTCTCTCTCTCTCTCCCTCTCTCTCTCTCTCTCTCAGCCAAACCCTAGCCGTGTACCCCCATCGCTGCTGGCCTCTGACTATGGCTGGGGGCCGGTGGCAGCCTCTCCCTTCCTTTTCCTAGCTCTTCCTCCCTTCCTCTTCCCCCCTCTTCCCCATCCCAGCCCATCCTCCACCCCTACCCCTCGCCATTTCGATCATGTGCCTTAATATTCCTTCCCACCACCTCACGCCGCCGTTTCCCTGTACCGCCCCCTTCCCCGCCCCAACCCACCCCCCCCCCCCAAAACAAAAAAAACGCGTTTTCACTCCCTCCCCCTTCCCCATGCTCCCCCCCCCCCTTCCTCGCGCCTCTGTTTTCTTTCCGCCTCACCTCCCCCCCTTCCCTATGCCAACCCCTCCGCCGCCACTAGCTTCCTCCATCCCCGTTTTCTTCTCCCCCACCTTTTTGTGCACGGCTGTCCCGTGATTTCGGGTCTCCCTCCCAGATCCGGGTTATGCCCTTCTCAAGGTATTCTCTTGATTTGGGTCCGTTTCGGATCTTGGGTTTAGATTGGGGTCGTTTAGTGGGTCGAAGCCACTTCCATCCTCCTTTTCGGGTGCTGTGATGCTACCCTCTCTTGATGTATGGACACACCGCCTCCTGCGCTCATCCATTGCACCGCCTGGGTTGTGTTATTCCCGAAAGTGCATTGCAGCTCGGCTGTCTGGTTTTGACTTGCTGTTGGATCTGTCCACTTCTGTGCAGTGGCTTCTATCAGGATTGGCTCATCCCTTCATCGGAAGGTGCTCCCTTGCGGCTTCTTTCTTGGAGTAGTTTGTTTAGTAATGAGTTTGAACAACGAACCCCTTTCCGGGGTGGTCTTGTTGTCCACTCGCCTTTGTGCACCATGGTGGGGCTTCTTGTTTGGTTAAATTGGTCTTCACCTTTATGTGATGCATTTTGTGAGTCTCGTCTGTCAACGATGACTTGATGCGATCTTGCTTTTCCGCGAAGACTTTTTGTGTGGCCTCGCATTTCAACAATGTCCATTATGGTTGTCTATATTTTTCTGTTGCGGTTAGTGTTTATTGTGACAGATCTGTACTGGTAGCATTTGTGCTCTCGGCGATTGTATGTTTGCTCTTGTGGTTGTCCACTAGGGGTTTATTCTTATTTGTCTATTTGTGTAAATCATTCCATATCAACTTGTTGGTTACTGGAGCTATGTAACCAATGACACCCTTGTAATGGTTTGTGTTGATTAATGAAATACTACATTATCGTTTCATTTCAAAAAAAGAAAAAAAAAGAAAGAGAGAAAAGAAGACGACACGATGAATTACTAGATAATCAAACTCAAAGACAGAATAGATTGAAGCACTTTTATGCAATGATGCTAGCTCCTTATACAACAAACTGAGGGAGTTTTAGAATTATCGTGTGTTAGCAGCGTGCATAGGGACCTAAAACTCCCCTTCAGTTGGTTGTATAAGGAACCTAAAATATGTGAGGATTGTTGTTAATTGCTCAAATTTTTTTGAAAAATGTGAATGTTAAGTTCTCGTAAGATATTTTGCACGCACAAGGAAAAATGTGATAAGCCAGTTGAAAGCGGGCTTCCCATTATTCAGTCATACATATGATATTGAATATCTTTAAAAAGTTCTGCATGAATCTTAAGGATTCCAAATCGGATTAAAAATGTGGTTAATGGCTCACAATTTTTGAGGTTACATTGCATCCTCAACTGAAAATTGTTATAAGTTAGGAAGCAATATTACCATTTTATTTATTTATTGAACTTTTAAGCTGGAAAACATAAAAGTAAATTAAACATACAATCGGGGTGAAAATTTAGCCAGAACGTTATGGTTTTTATAAAACTTCCACAACCAATGAAAGTGGGTAGTTGCTTACTAGTTTTGTGAAGAATGCAATTGTTGGGTTTTCATAATAGTTTTTGCGTGCCATGAGATATGTTGAAGTGGACGGGACCTAGACGGCTGGCGGATCAATAGTGAGCCGTTCAATTAGGTCTTACTATTTATTGAGTTGCTTAAGTATTATTTATTGAGCATGCAAAAGATCTTACGAAAATTCAATAAGAATAATATTTGCATTTCTCAATGAGGGACGAGCTCATTTCCCTACTTGTGAATAATATTTGCATCTTTCACAAAAATTAGCAATTACCCATGAACTTTAATCGGTTTTTTTTCAAAACTATCACAAAAAAGCATATTTGTGTGACATTTTCCCCGTACATAAGCTTCTTAAAAATTTTGTAAGACATTTCAGACTTATTCATGCCGACAAAAGTATCAACAGGCTACTCCGCCTAAAGCAAGTTAAACTCACCGCCTCTTACTAAAGGGAGATTTTTTCGGTGTGCCGGGAATAAAGCCCGGTATACCAAATGTAATAATATAATTAGTTGAAAACTTGAAAAAAAAAATTCCAAACAATTGTAATATAAAACTTAGTGTCCGAACATGTTCGTGGCACTTGAAAGATCTCCTGACCAAGAAAGTATTATGAAGTGGAACAAGGAGAAATTTGAGATCTCTAGTGATCCAGCGATCCTTCTTAGACGTTGATCAAGTCAGGAATAAACCAAAGCACCATTTCCCAAGCTCTTTCGTTTCCTTCTCTAAGTTTGTGAAGCATAAATTATAATAAGCCGACCAAATATACTTCTAATGTTAACATATATAGTATGGTAAGCCGACCGTAGTCGGTCTTCAAATTTGTCCATAATTCGAGGCTTTGGATGAACTTTACAACAAAAATTATTATAAATTGACCCTTACATACCACAATGTTATAACCACTGAAAGCTAATTTAACAAAGATTCGTTGAAAGGATACATGTTATCAAAGCTCCAATGGATTTCGAACAAATTTGTCACCCTAAATTCCATTCTCGTGATTCTTCTTCCTACACTGTCTATGGCAAAAGAGTTCGTCGTCGGAGATGATAGCGGCTGGAGAACGGATTTTGATTACCAAAAGTGGGCTAAAGGCAAAGTAATTCGAGTTGGTGATACATTGGGTACGTATATACATAATACATTACATAGCAATTTTGATTTCAATTTTCAGTCTTTTATTTTGGGAGAAAATTGTAACAATTATTCCTCAATTTTAACCCAATTGGATCAATGGTCCCCCAATTAAAAATTCATGACATTGTTCCTCTCACTCATCAAAACGTGTCTATAGTTCCTTTCATCAACTCTGTCATAATTCTGTCAAAATGAGTCATGTCAGAAAGACCATTACTACAATTGAATTAAAATTGAGGGACCATTGCTCCAATTGCGTTAAAGTTGAGGGACTATTTCTCCAATTGAGGGATCATTGCTACAAATTTTCTCATTTGGTTTTCTATATTTGTCCCTTGATTCAGCCTCACGTTCGTGGCACATAACTCATTTTGACAGACATGCTAACATAATTGATGAAAAGAATCATAGTTGCATATTTTGATGAGTTAAGAGACCAATGATCATGAGCTTTTAGTTGAGAAACCATTATTCCAATTGGGTTCAAGTTGAGGGATCATTTCTACAATTTTCTCTTATTTTGAAGTGTGTTTGTTTTTTTTTTTTTTAAAATTTTTTTTAAACTAAAAACTTATTTGGTAACTCTTTAAAATTTTAAATGAAAACTAAAAGCAACCTTGTGAGTTTTTAAATTATGGTATTGAAAATTGTTACCAAACAAGTTTTTAATTTTTTATTTCACTATTTTCAGTTAAAAAATAACTAATAAAAACTAGAATAGTTATCAAGCGGGTCTTAGTTACACAACTTTTTATTCTTTCATAGTTAGCAAAAAGTTTAATGCGATTGCACAAGCTCATATGTTTTAATTACAGTGTTCAAGTACAAGTCTCCTAATCACAACGTGTTCAAGTTGGACGGAGCTGGGTTCAAGGAATGCACTAAACCAACGGAAAATGATCAAGCACCACTTACCTCTGGGAATGACAAAATAAAGCTAACGACTGCTGGAAACAAATGGTACATTTGTTCCGTTAGCAACCACTGTGCTGATAAGGGGATGAAGCTTTTCATTACCGTTGCAGACGAATCATCTGCTGCTCGTAGCATCATATGGTCTGAATCATACCAAGTCTTCATCGCCACTGTCATTGCAATCGTGGCAATTGTAGTCTGATACCACATGAGTTCTTGATTTTTTTCTACAAATACTTTCATTTTATTTGGAGCAACTGAAGCTAGCTTAATTTGCACTACTGTCAGTGGCCTCAAATAATATTGACTTTTCCTGGCTGCTTGACTCTTTAAATTATGTAATTTGCATTACTATTAAATGAAATGCAGTGAACCTTTCTGTTTCGTTAATCTGTCACATTCTTTTCGACAACATTAGATACAACTCTAGCAAGACTTCTTAAAGTAAAAAGGTTGTTGGTACCCCTTAGCTTGAGCAATGATAATACAATCACGTCTTTGAGCAAAAAAAAAAAAAAAAAAAATTCATATATACTAAAACCCAGTTTTGGGGGTCACTGTTGATGACCAGTGGCTGGACGATTTTGCCCCTTGGTTTTTGGTTTCTTTGCCTGCCTCTTTTCTCTTTGCTACAGTCAAAACCTTATTTTGTACATTTGATTCACGCGTCTGTCATTTTTGGTCTCTCCACTTCGTTTGCGAGT